AAATGAATGCACATATGCAACTACAAAAGTAGATACACATGCCCACACATCCGGATACGGATGTAACCTGAGGAAACGAAGATGTAGAGGAAAAAAAAAGACACACGAAGTCCACAACAAAAGCCAACCTACACATTGTAGTATAAAATGGCTAGAAGACCTCGAATTTTCAAGGCGACAAATAACCACAATCACGCGGTCGGTTATAGCCACTTGCTGTGGTACTTCAAGCCCAAAGGATCTACAAAGAGAAAATTATCATCCGGAGAAAGGTATATAACAAAAATAGGAAAATAATGGGCAAAATCCGCAAAAACTGGATTCGAGCAGAAAATAGGATAGGTAACCCGAGCGATACGTATTTCTGCTGGTAGGCTTCATCACGCCCGAAATGAATGTACATATGCAACTACAAAAGTAGATACACATGACCACACATCCGGATACGGGTGTAACCTGAGGAAACGAAGATGGAGAGGAAAAAAAAAGACACGCGAAGTCCACAACAAGAGCCAACCTACACATTGTAGACAAATAACCACGGCTGCGTGGTTATGGCTATTTGTCGCCTTGAAAATTCGAGGTCTTCTAGCCATTTTATACTACAATGTGTAGGTTGGCTCTTGTTGTGGACTTCGTGTGTCTTTTTTGTTCCTCTGCATCTTCGTTTCCTCAGGTTACACCCGTATCCGGATGTGTGGGCATGTACTCGTATATCTACTTTTGTAGTTGCATATATGCATTCAGTTCGGGCCTGATGAAGCTAACCAGCAGAAATATGTATCGCTTGGGTTACCTATCCTATTTTCTGCTCGAATTCACTTTTTGCGGATTTTGCCCATTATTTTCCTATTTTTGTTATATATATATAAGGTCAATCGGCCGGCACGTGTTATCAGTGAAAAAAAGATGAAATCTCGATGGAATTTTCAATAGTTGATAGTTTTAAAATCAATCAGCGTTTAGTTAAAAAGCCCTTTCAAAATGATTTGCCATTTAATAGTAAAATAATTCCGTCCTAATCGAACCTCATCAGTCCAGTTTTTTATTCGTCGACTATGTGTTCCCTTCACTGTTGTTTAAAGACAATTTCAGCAACAACCTTGCCGACTTACTCCAGACGATGAAGACATAGATATTCGATAGCTTGAGAGTTTAAGTTATAATACTTTGCCTTCTACCCAAAGAAATTAAAGGACATATATATATATATATATAAGAGGAACTGCAGCATATTTGGAATACTGGTTTCATTAAATTATTTGAAACCATTAAATTTTAATGATATAAACAATCAAACAAAACAAAAACCAAGAACCCCCTCAAAATATTTATCAAAGTAAAAGCTCCAAACGCGTAAATTTACTTTAAGTGCAGGTAATTTGGAATATAGTATTCCAAATTATAATCACCTTTTTTGACAATTATTGTTTACACTTTTAACAAAATAGCTTATAATAATTAAGTAATCAGTTATGATAATCACAAATCAGTACTTAGCCTGAACTTATAGTTTAGTGATCTTAGTTACTGTTCTTACAATAATCACAGATATACACACATACACAAGCACTAAAAGCAGCGTGAACTCGCACATGACATCCTAACTTAAAATTCCATGTCAGATTTTTAATTCTTTATATATTCACAAAATCAAAATAAAATTGTGATCTAATAAGAACAAGACAGGTCAGATAATTGCAATGAAGCTTTTACGTATCATAGTAAATGATTATCAATGACTGCATTCTTAGTGAAAAGGTTTTCAAAGTAGACGTCTCGTTCCGGTGTGGCTGGTAGCAGGAAATGTTAAGGTGGCGTCCTGCTTTTAGTGTTTTGTAAAATATATTGATAACTTCCAGCACTGCCAGACACTTTCTACCGGCCATAACTTCAGCCAGACGCTTTGAAGAATGTACCTCGCTGTAAAATGATCTCTTTCTAACTTGCTTGTATGACGATTGAAATAAAAAAGGCATATACAAAAATTATAAGGTATGATACGAGGTTTTCTTTGATATGCATACAAAGTGTCTCAGAAAGGCCTTATCATATAAATATGTATTTTTTCAAACTGTTCTGTTCCATAGCATTGACACTCTGTATACAAAAAAGGCATTGGATAAAAAATTTTATATCAGACTCTATAACTTTTGTACAAAAGATTTTTTCTAGTCTCCCATTCAAAAAGATCAGCCCTATGAGAATAATAAGAGCGGTATCGAGCACGGGTTAGAGACCAAAAAATTCAACAATAAAGGGTGAAACAACGTAGCTTCCATTTTCGGTTTAATTAGGGCAATCCACCAAATTCTTTTCGTAATGATATTCATTAGCTCACAGCTATACTTTTTTGATGGAAACCCATGCACCTCAGACAATAAAAATATCTGCATGTTACCGTCAAAACACTTAGGTAGTGTATGACACAAATTGGATGATAAATAAACTTAAAGAGCGAAGAGCACGGCGCAGAGAGCACTTGTCGAAAGCGCAACACAGCACTGTGCCGCATAATCAGAGAATAACTAGATTTCCAATTAATTTTGCTGTAATTAATTTTGCCGAAATGATCAATTGGTGCTCTGTACGCATTATTCTATATATCCGCATTAACGTGTCGCTGTGTGAGTTGTCTACTGTAGGGTTTGCGATCCTAGTCATATTTTTGCTAGTCTGCCGTCCGTAAACATAAACTTTACAACCAACCGTCTCCTGCGGCCCTTTCTGCCTGCATTTGAGCAGCACCTAGTGTACCAACGCTGATACATTCGTCGAAGATGAATTTTGTGAAATTATGAACCATCTACGAATTTATATGTATAGTAATTATTTCAAATTCGCCTTGATCCATTGGTATATCGGTAAAGGTGAGAAAGACGAAGTCTGTTAAACGGAGGCAAAGTTGCGCCAGAATAGTAGTATTTGTGTGTATATATGACAATTCAGTTATTTATAAAATACATTGTTTAAGGCAACATAAATTGAGCTAACGAATATAAACATCTACCTTGCACTTTCATATAAATATGTACTTAAAGTTTGATAAAAAATTTAAAACAATTTTAACAACAGCACATTTAAAAAATAGGTATAAATGACAAAATTCAAAGAAAACCAGATAAAATCAATAAAGTAACTCATAGCGCATCGGTTTAATATTTCCTGGTGTCGATCTAAAGATCCGAATCTCCCAAAAACTCAATCTTAAAATAAACTACACATTAGCGATGTCACTTATCGTCCTCTACAAGGTGGCCTAATTAGGATTTCAATAAAACGTTCGATCTCTTGCCCTCCCTCATAAGCTTTATTTTTCCTTATTTACGCCATATTAGACTCTTCCACAGGTTGATGGAATTTTTTATTCTGATTTAATTACGTCTATGACACACCTTAGTACTGTAAAACTATAATTATTCAAGCAAACAAGATTTCCCAAGTAGTCCTTCACATTATTAGAAGGTCATTTGTTTCACAATATCATTAACTAAGCATTTTTTTAGCTTATATGAACTGTGAGCAGGTAACGGATACTATAAAATTTCAAATGTCTAAGAAAGCAGTCTCCCTATAACTGGTCTTGACTTATTGGAAAAAGAACAAGACAATGTTATTCTACATTATTAAAGGGTAGCCATTAAAACATTGAAAGCAGTATAGTTTCAAGAAATTAATAGAAAATTCAGAGCAAGCCAAAGCTTTGATAATGTTGCAGGCTGCTAAACACATTACATCTTAATTATATCTGAGCCATGAAGAACTGAACTCAATGTCTTTCAAACCTAGGCAGAAATCCAATATTGCGTTCGTAAGAAAAAACGAACTTTACTAATGAAGACATAAAACGAAACGTCACGTTTAAATTCTAAGTATGCCACTTTGTAAGCAGAATAAGTGGCAATGTTGATTTGCATTCTATTTTTAAGTTCTGCCTCAAATAAAGTAATATAATAAAAATAGTTTTGAGAAAAATCCCCAGAAATGTTTTAAATTGAGAAACTTTTAGATGCCATTTTATTAGCTACTTGCTCTTATTTAAGCGACCTTGTATCTCTTACCGTTTCTGACATCCCAACGGTGAGAGTCGAATTTTAAGCACACCGTAATGCTATTCCATATATCTGGGTGCCAAATATGCTTTGGAAACATTCTGAAATACCCTGTATGTCCTCTCTGCATAAGAGGTCCGCCACGTGGTGCAACTTTGAAGCCAGACGTAAACGTTACACGAGCAAGAGTGGTCTTAACGTTTTATCAAGCCATATAAAGTTCCTACGCTTTCATATAGCCAGCGTCTTTTATAGTCTACTGACTGTCATCGGGGATTTTTTATATCGCATCATTTCAGCGACACGGCACGGAAGCCCAACATAAAACTGTCGAGCTGGATACTTTGACACACGAATGTTAAAAAAAGTCGGTAATTGAATTTAATTCAACAGGTGTAAGAGATAGGCGTCCTACAATGCCTACGCCCTTTTCACGGTTTCTGGTGGGTCACAGTAAAACTGCAATACTACATATCCCTCACACGTCATCTACCTTTGAGGTGTGGACTTTTTTCAGCTTTATCGCACCTCCTCGAGCGTGTTGTCGTAACGTATGTAGTTCAATCAGTTTACATTTTGAGTACAAAAAATTAGGCGCAGAACAAAATTGTTGGGGATTGGATTTTTTCCACTTTGCGACAAAATCGTTGAATATATGTTTTTGGAATCGCAAAAAACTGATTTTAATCTACTTCTCATAATAGCTCAAAAGCACTTTTGTAGAAAATCAAACAAACGAAAACTTTACATGTATAGATATTTAACATACCTTATGTTAGACAAGGAATTTATATTAATTTCAATAATAATAGTAATTAATAGTAATAGATATCTTTATCGCATCATTATCATCACACTATAACATTGGAAAGTATAATGCAAATGGCGGAGTCTAGTCATTGACCAATCTACTCAACCAATATCTGGACATATATTAAAAAATAAGTATAATGCTGTACCAGGGGGTACCCAAAAAAAACCGGAATTATTTTTTAAAAGCACTTTATTTTCACAAAGTAACCTTATCTCCTTCAAAATACTGTCCACTACAACTAATACACTTGCCCCACCGGTGCTTCCGAAATAAGAAAAAGTCACAAGGAGCCAGGTCAGGCGAATAAGGTGCGTGAGGCAGCAGATCCGTGCCATTTTTACCAGTCTCCTGACTGCCACAAATCGGGTCTTTTTTGCCGAACACTGTTTCGCAATCGTCTTCAAACCTCCAAATTAAAGGTCTGATTGACAGTGTGACCTGGGGAAACAAACTCGGAATGGACTACGCCTTTGGTATCAAAAGAACAAATCAGCATTGTTTTGATGTTTGATTTGACTTGAAGACATTTTTTGGACGGGGTGACAATGGCGTCTTCCATTGACTTGACTGTTTCTGGGTCATAACCGTAGCACCAAGTCTCATCAACAGTGATGATCTTTGACAGAAAATTTTCATTCCCAAATCTTCTGTTAAAATTCGCTGAAAGGAACTCAAGAACAACCCACTACTTACGGATAGTTGATCGATTGTCAGTCGACGGTCTGCAAGCACAAGCTCTCGAATTTTTTCAACATTTGCATCGATTCGGGCAGTTGATGGACGTCCAGAGGGAGGTTTGTCATCAATCGATACGTCGCCATTTTTAAATCGAGCAAACCACTCGTACACCTGAGTTTTTCCCATAGCATCATCTTTGTAACCTATTTTCAACATTAAAACAGTATCAGCAACATTTTTACCCATCAGAAAGCAAAATTTCACAACTGCACGTTGCTCACTGAAGCTTGCCATCGTAAAAAACGAAAAAAGCACGAAACAGCTATAGCAAAAATAATACTACAGAGGAATGAAACAAGCCAGATCGCCTCTAGGGGCAGAAGTGTGTACTACACACTTCCTCATCGCAATATACTATAAACTATAACAACGTCTTTTGCTACACACTTGATAAAGTATTAAATGCTTCTAAAATTTTTGTGTTACTGTACATGAAATATATTCAATAAGGATTGGGTGCTACCAATACGTCTGTGTTACGGTGTGTTCAAAATATTTTTTGCTTTAATAGTGACTTAAATTTACGATGATCTGCTGTATTCTCTATAGGAGAAAACTTGGCAAATAATATAAAACAAAATGCTGATGTTCAGCTGCATGAAACAAGACTAAATAATTCATTCAGTAGACTGTCAGGATGTTTTCAATGCCATTATGGCTCTAAAAAATAAAAAAAGCCCTGCAGTTGACGAAATTAGAGCTGAGCATCTGAAGGTGCTGGCCAGACAAATAACAGAACCACTTGCTTATATCATTAACAAATCCTTTCAATCTGGAGTATTTCCATCAGCTTTCAAGACAGCAATCATCATACCTATCTATAAAGCTAGTGATAATATGGATGTCACTAACTATCCACCTATTTCACTTATATCAAGCTTAGCTAAATTTTTTGAGAAATTACCCCTTAATAAAATGATTAACTGTTTTAATAAATTCAAAATTTTAAATTCTAGTCAATTTGGTTTTATAGCAGGTATAGTATAAGAGTAGATGAAAGTACCCAAAATATGGATGAAAAGGTACCACCGATATGCGTATTTGTTGATTTACAAAAAGCGTTTGACACAATTAACCACAATATACATTTGGAAATTTTAGAAAGAATAGTTTATCGGGGAAAGATGTATACTTTAATGGAAAATTATTTATCAAATAGATCGCAATCAGTAAAGTTATTAAACTCATATGGTAAAGAAATGTTAAATGTGGTGTAGCACAAGATACAATTTTGGGTCCTCTGTTATTCAATATTTATTTGAACGATATATTCAATATTAATAGTACTAGTAAAATAGTCAGTTTTGAGGACGACACTGCTATACTCTATAAAGGTAAGGATTGGAACGACATGAAAGATTTATCCAAAATGACTTTTGTAAAATAATTCAGTGGTTTGATAGCCTAAAATTAACAATTAAATTTACTAAAACTCATTTTAACATTAATAGAATAATCGCTTTTTTATTCAATATTTAGGAAGTGCCAGTTGATATATAACTGTTCCAGCCTAAACAAGCATGTTTTGATGATGCTGTTAACATCCGTCTGGAAACGTGGGTCTTCATGTGCGAGTAGAATCAAATTCTTGGATACATCATTAAATTTTAAATTTGTACCACCTATTCTCAGGTACAGGCTTGCATTTAGATGTATCTGCTTTTCTTTCTTGCAGAACAGTACAACATTTAATTTTTGAAGATTGAGTTTCATGTTATTAAAAGCAGGGGAGTTATTAATACTTTCGAGATCAATATTAATTTTAGTCTCAGCCATTTTAAAATCATCAGGTGGAAAGCTTAATAGTAATTGAGTATCATCGGCATAACATGTTACACTTTACATCAATCACTTAAAATTCGATTGAAAGAGCAAATACAATTAAAGCTTTCTTATTATGAAAAAAATTGTACTTTGTTAATGATAATTAATAATACTGTTACTAATCTATCATGTTATTACAGTGTAATACGTGTGAAATGCTGAATCAATCTACTTAACTCCCCATTTCACCATTCAAACAGTTCCTCATCGATCAATTCTGTACGCATGCCCTTGACAGGTGTCGCTTCCAAAGCCAAACCAACGGAAAAAAAAGAAATAATCGATGATGAGGCGTATGTAGCACATTATTAGTTGACTTTGTAAATTATCCTTACTCGCAAAAAAGCCAGCTGCTTAATTGGCTTACAGCAGCTTTGTCGGACTTAAATGGAGCTCGGTAATTGGCGCATTGTCGTTATGGGCACTGGCCGCCAGGGGAATTTAGGATTCACTAGCGGTATCACAGAATATAAACTCTGGATATTCCACGTTCCAGTTCTGTAGATTATTTCTTTTTACGGTTTTAATCAACTTGCTGTGTAAGCTCGAATACCCGATATTAGTTGAGCATTAAAATACGCAAAAAAGCATTTTTTGTTTTTCAAAATAATTTATCTGACATAGATTGCACTTCAATATGAGCAAAAGCCAATAATTGAAGCTGCGCCTTCATTGCTCCTTCTCAATAGAATCTCGCAACGACCTCCAAGCTGCTATCAGCTAATCTCCACATATAAAGCTGCAAACTTATAGCTGTAATATCGCAAACAAAAAAAAACAAAATCGCATGGCGCAAAGGCAGAAGTATCCTTCAAAGAACGGTCGAGCTAAATAAGTGCCAGCATTGATTAACCTATGCATGTGGGGATAGAAAACCTAGTTCTATATTCCGTTTAAAAAATTGTCTGAGATAAAATGAGATACCGTCTTCTATGCGAACTTTTTACAGGTCTTACACTCTTGACTATTAATACTTTGCGAAGGTTAGTGTAGCTACCAATAAGCTCGTATATGCGTTGGCTACAGCGGCATCTATGAGACCTTTTCAAAGCATACGCAGGGCGACCTGGACCAGAAGCAACCACACTTGAAATCAAAGGTTATGTGTGATGGAACAGTAGTGAAAAGGTAAAAAAATAAATAAAAAGGTACTTACCATTTGCAGAGAATTCCTAGTATGGGTCTGTCAGTTATAATATGTACAGTTGTTGCCGATGGTGAAGGTCTAGGGCTGAACGAGCCCTGTCCAGCTTCAGTTGGCCCACACAAAAAATTTATAGCTTTTTTGACTTTTACCGGCAAAAACCCACTAGAATATAGTAGATATAAAAGATATCGTAAGATACAAGAAAAAAAAAATCGACAACTGTAAAAAACTTCAATACCCAAATATTACTAACGATTGATTTGTCAAGACGGACGTGGTAACAATAAATTGTAATTGTTTGTCAACCACGCTCACTTGTTTTAGCGAACCTTAGTTTATCAGGCGACCGTACCTCGTAGTTGCTGTCAAAAATGGGCAGTGGGAAGGCGATAGAGGAAAATGTATTGGATCAATTGTCATTAATTTGCATAAATCGGGAAAATCAAACGGTGAAATTGTAATATTGCTCCGGTTATCTAGATACAGTGTTCGAAATATTGTAAGATTATACGAATCAAATGGTTCAACTGCCCAAAAACTCAGATATGTTAAAAAAATCCAAATTAACAGAACCTGATAGATGAGCTTTGGGCAGAATTATCAAGTCTAATAGACGTGCTAACTACGGAGAGTCGAGTGTACTCTGAAGTGAAGCTGTTGGAAGACGTGTTTGCAGGTCTGCCTGTCATTCAGAAACAAGAAAACTAGGTTATGGTACTTACAAGGTAAGTTTCATGAGTTCAATCCTAAGCAACAAGAGATAATTATTGTTTCCTTTGGAGCAGGCTAAAGAAAAACCATTATTGACCACAAAGCAGAAGTAAAACAGGTTAAAATGGGCTAAAAACCATCGATTCGAACTTTGCGTCGGTGATATTCGGAGCAGAGTTATTCTCCAAAAACATGAAACTTATCATCCTCATTGTCTCAAGCGCAAAGTTAAATTTCCATCTTCAGTAATCGTCTGGGCTTCAATGTCGGCAAGAGGAGTTGGCAAATTACATTTAATCAATGGAATTGTTAACTCAGATAAATATCTAGACATCCTAGAGCAATTTTCGTTGCTTACTTTGGAGCAAAAGAGCAGGATCTCTGGAATTGGCTTCATCTTCCAGCAAGACGATGTTGCCTGCCATACTTCCAAAAAAACATGAAATGGCTTTCAAACCATGAAGTACCACTCCTAGAATGGGTTTCTAGTAGTCCGGACCTTTCACCCATCGAGACCTTCTGGCACATCATGAAAAAGAGGCTGCGAGCCAATCCTGCCAGGACTGTGCAAGAACTCAAGAAAAACTGTAGAACATTTGGAATAATTTCACTCCAGATGAGTGTCAGGACTTAATAAATAATTTGTCTTGACGAATTGAAGCTGTAATTAAAAATAAAGGTGATGTTACTCAGTGGTAAAATGAGCTGCGAATTCTTGTTTCTTAGAGATAAAAATCACAAATTTTGTTGTTTCCCCTTTTTTCGCTCTAGCCAGCTCCAAGTGGTATATTAGCTTTTTATGTAATAGCATTTTGTTGCTGTTTACAAAATAAAAATTAAGAATTATGCCTCTATTAGTTTGAATGATCGTCAATATGTGCCAATAATTGCAAATTTACCAAGTGAACCAACTGCAGCTGGGCAGGGCTCGTACATAGCGCATATCACAAATATTTCATTTCTTATTTTAAAATAAAACATTAGGATATAGCCTGCACAAAAATATCATTATTTCTTAAAGACCCTCTGAATGCTATCTGATAGAACTTCAAAGTTGCATTTTGGTGGTAATACTGTGGTATAGGATACTGCTTTATAAGCTGTTTTTTACAACAACACAAAAGATTGCTCAAAATTATATGAATGTAACAGACGGTGTAAATTACTGTGACACTGTTCATCGCAATAATGCAATAATGCAATTTTGCATTATTTTAATGATGAAAACAGTTCATTGTTGAGTAGTCATTTCTTTAATTTCAGATAAATATTCCCATCACTACACCACCATCACTATCATACTATCTCCATCTAGTTGCGATGTTGCCAAATCATGGATAGTAATACACCTTAATTTGGTTTGTCAAACCCTTACTTATATGCTAGCGCAAAAATGTGCAATCGGCATGAAAATGAGATTTGGAGGTGTGGCCGGCAGGTATTACGGTAGGTACTAAATCCACTTCGTGCCCTACGA